ATATATTGTATATATAATACACACACACTCACGATTACAACATTACTTTTCACGTCACTTAAACCTCATCCCACTGTTTCATTTATTTTCTATTCCTCTGAGCAGACAATCGCGTTGTGTGCCTATGTGCTCATGACGGAGACATTTGACGCCGCCCACAGGGAGCCGCCCACAATCTTCATGCAGTTCTTTTGGGCAATGGGCATCATGTCTCTAGCACTCTTTGGCTATCTCCTGCCAGACTGGGGTCACCTTGAGCTCGTCATTGCCCTGCCCATCAACCTCCTATCTTTTTTCTACATCTGGTACGACTTTTTCCCATGAACCGAGATTTCTTGTACTCATTTTTTAAAGCAACAATAAGAGCACATACAAACCCCCCCCCCCCCAAAAAAAAACAACCAAACAAACAAAACCAACCAAAACAAAGAAAGAAATCAGACCGTATGGGTGACTATCTGAGTCCTTAAAGATTACCACAAATTAAATTTTTTGTGTGTTTCTGCTGATGACAGGAAAATTGCACCATGCACCGATTCTGAAAAAGCTCACATTTCATCAGTTATAGATTGTGTTCACAATCGGGTCCGTTTTTTTGGTGTTACTTCTATTCTTAGAACGAATGGAATTTTCAAAAAATATTGCAATGTTCAAAATTTTGTTTTATGTGGTCGTGGATCGCATTTCTTACTTAGGAGATAAATACGACCGTGAGTTTTGCTTTAGATAAGCAATATGCGGGTCTGTACTTTGGGCCGCTTGACAAGGGCAAGATGTTTGAACTTGAGAGACTGAAACTTGTAAAAATAGATCTGCTGAAATCTTTCTCCCTTACTTTGCAGCTTTGTAATAAATGCTATTAGGGGTCAGTATGAGTTAAGTGAAAAATAATGTTATGTGTTTTTTATAGCCTTTGTCGTTGCTGCTGTTGTTTTCCTTATTAAGAATAGCGATGACGATAAACGCAGGAGGAGGAGGAGGAGGAGAAGAAGAAGAAGAAGAAGAAAAGACACTGATTTTGCTCGCTTTTCATTACGAAAAGAAGATGCCGTTACCGCTAACTTGACATTTACTCTGATATTTGCTTTTTTCTCGTCTTCAAGGCTCATCCCCGACTCGTTACCATGGCTACTGTCCAAAGGCCGTACAGGAAAGGCCAAGGACGTCATCTTGCGGTTCCTCCGTGTAAACAACCTGCCGGACATTCCACTCCTGGACAAGACTTTGGACAAATTCCGCAAACAGAAGGATGAATTCGACATGTGAGCATACTTGGACTCTCTCTGCATTTTTTATTATTTCTACTTTTCCCCCCATGCTTTTACTGCTCTGTTACTCTACTCTTATTACGTTATCCAAACTTGGTTACTCCTTTGGTAGGAACGCTTGCAACGTTGAAGAAGTCTTGAGAAGTAAAGGAGTCTTGAAATGTCTAGGGGCTATCTTTTCACAACAGAAAGCTCCAGAATTTCACAAAGGCGATATTGTCAAAACATACTGAGAATATCTATGATTCTGCAAGCACGAGTTAAACGTGTCATGGACCAAGTGCTCGCGGTGTACTTACTCCAATTTCCGACTTTTGGCAATTTTTGTCACTGTATGAAGGCTGTTGAGCATCTTTCCTTTGAGCACAAAATCATTACGGTCCACGCCCGTGTTCCGTAGAATTTCAGTTTCTTTTTATACCAATATCCGTGGCCTCAAGAATTTAATGCTACCGAAGTGATTTACTGGACAGCACAACCCCGCAATGTGCGTTAGCCCCGCAGTGTGTCGGCCCATTATGAGAAATGTACAATGTAATTGCTAGCTAAAGTAGTGTAAGATGAAATGTTCGTTTAAGTTATAAAAAAAGAAGTATTCGTAGCTAAACTGAAAATAAAAGAAAAATACCTGATACTTTTCTTTGGCCTCTTGTTACTATGGTCAAGTCAAACTGTAGGAAGTAAATGAAGGGTTTTATAATTTGCACGGACGCCTGTCCTCAAAAGCGTTGATTTTGGTGCTTATTTTTGCTTTTTTGTGTTCTTTGTTAACCTCTTTGCCTTGTCCTTTGTGGGTAATATTGTACTGTGTCTGACATAGGCTTGCGATTTATACAGTGACAGGTGTTTCATATGTAACCCTTATTCAAGATCATTCAAGTTACTTTGGTACTACATGTACTTTAATTCTTCTATTTTGCAAGGGAAACATGCTCCTCTGTGAATGTATTATGGTCATCGTCAGACATTGACAGACGAGCTATCATTATTATTATCATTGCATGTACTTTCACATTTACTCTGGTAACAAAGTTATTTCACTTTACTCTGGTAACAAAGATATACGTTTACTCGAATTTTACTCGCTCTACATTTCAATATTTACTTTTTCATCTATCAATCTATCTATGTATCCAACTATCCTTCTACGTCGCTCTCTTTGTCTCTTATAACCCCAACCCCCCCATCCCCCATACCCCCA